GCAGAACATTTTTTGTGTAGTATATTCTAATTACAAGCACAGACTCAGTCGGTACTTTTTAGATCACTTCTCTGCCATGTATTTTACAATACTCCATGGACTTTTACAAGGCACCATTGAAAAAAAGCCAAGTTAATATTGCTTTATCCCCAAGATGTCAGATCTTTGAATATTTTATCCAGCTTTATGTTTGTAAGGACATGCGTATAACTGAATTAACTGTATTCTTTAACAGTCCATCAAAGCAATACCTTTATTCCAACTTCTGGAAGTCTCAGCCTCAAAAAACCAAGAAATTTTGCAGTATTTCTGCTTGACAGAGCACTTAGGAAAAAAAAGAGGAAAATGTTTCTGGAATCATCGTTGGAACTACAGCATACCATTACTGTACCAGACTTTCAAAGAATTAATGAAAAAAAGATCAGTGGTAAATAAAAGACTAAAAGAGACAAACATAATGAAGTGTCAGTAAAAGTGTAGCAAGTTTTCAAGGGACAGACAGTATTATATTAAAATCAGAAGCATGAATTGTATTTCGTTAATGAAGGCACCATTTTCAAAGGAAGATTTCATCATTGTATACTAAAGTAAATTGTGTTCCTTTCATGGGCAACAGGGACAGCATGGTACATCACAACACTACAAGTGTGACAGGAAGGAATATGAAATGGGATCCTATTTCACAGAAATTTAAATTATTTTTTTTAAAATGAATCTGTCTTTGAAAAATTCTTATAGTTATTATTATAGTTAGCTAGATACAAAATATTTAAAATTTCTTTCAATTGCTAGTTTTTAAGTAAAAACGGTAATCTTTATAATAATATTTATTTTTGGGGGTCATGTACTTTAAAGAAGGTGACACTAAGAGGCTGTATAGATTTTTCTAACTTGGCAAAATACTTAGCTAAAAGAACTGTTACTGATTATGGAATGTATAGTTAGCAAGTGACAAAAACAAATTAGGAAATCATAATATAATTTATAATCATGAGCAATTAAGAGTTGTGAGAGTTTATATGAAGAAAATTAGAAACACTTTTATGGAAATAATGGATTTAAATTATGGCACACTAATAATGAGATCATTCATTTGGAATGTTAAATAATTCAGTCTGTTAAATTCTAAATGCAATTTCTCAGCATTAACTATTGCTGAATTATTTTTACTGCATTATTTTTGTGACCTTTTTATTGTAAGCCGTTAATTTAACATTAAAAGGTGAAGTGATTAAACAACATGTATCAGGGCATACAATAAGGTAAATGATAATGTGAAATCAAACAAAGTTTAACTGAATTTTGATACTATAAAAAGATCTTATTCTTAGAAAAAGAGTCTCCTGTTCCTGGGTGTGTATCAGAGCGTGAACTCACGCATATTAGCTATCCTGTGAGACTTCAAGTAGAAGAAAACAGTGTGACCACAACTCGAGTTCCTATTCACAAGCCTTGTTATGAAATGCAATGCCACCAGACAATACAGTCCTATGTAGTTGCCTAATACTTACCATGGCTAAGTAAAGGACGGAACCTTCCAAAATTATTCGCATGGGAATACTGTCATAACTACAGAATACTTTCTTCATTATGTGAAAAATATGCCTGTCTCAGTAAGATGTTTGCTTTTTTTTTTTTTAATTTGTACCCAAACTCAAAACTTATGGGAAAAAAAATCAAGACATTAATTTCCCAAGAGGCAATCTCAGACTGTTTTGAATCAAAACTGATTGGAGGCGGGTCAGGAGGAAATTTCAGATGAGGTAAGTTAGCCAGCAGGAACATCCAGAGTCTTCTTGCCATTAGCACTAAGGAGAGACATACACAGAAACCAAGGTCTCCAAACTGATCGTATATTAGAGCTTAATACCAATCTGTCCTACCCTGTCACTCTTAGAGTGCTGGATCCTTATGGCACACTGCCTAGCACTAGGAGGTAAATTAGCAGTTTTGCATAAATCTTTCTGGGCCTCTTGAATGCCTTCTGTCTTACCCACACAGTTCTTCTTCCTCTATCTACTGTGGGATCTCATCAATTAGTTTAATTTACAGATTACAGTAACAGAGTGGTAACTTTCCTAAAATGTTTAAATGGCTTTGTTATTGCTGACCTTCATATGAGGAAAGGGGAGGACAACAGCTTCTTTTGTAGAAGAAAGGCAGTGAATACCACAAAGGCCAAAGTAGATGAGTAACAGAAGAAAACCCCCATTTGGGGTTCTTTGTTGTTTTGTTTTGTTGTGTTTTGTAACTGTTCTTTGATTTTGAAAGGTAGAGAAGTTAGAAACTGCAACCTGTGAAGTACCTGAGCATTTTCGCAGTAATTGGGGTGGCTCCCCTTCCTGGCTGGTAGCATGCTAATACATTGAATCTTTGGAATTACTACATTTATTGAGGTTGAGAGATTCAGTTCTTTGCGTTCTTGATAGACAATTCATCTGATCAGGAGAGTAGCAGAATAACTAGAATAAATTTTTGAACGGATGCTAGGAAGAGGTGAGGATCATATTTATGTTTCTTAGGACTTTCCAAGGTCAAGCTTTTCTAGAAAGAAAAAGTTTGGGTAAGCCAACAAAAGCTCTCATGAGATGGAAAAAGATGGTTGGAGTGGTTGGTTCTGGTTGGGAGTGGGAGATAAGAATAGAAATTGGTTTTCAGACAACACCAAAATAAGGGGTGGGCTTTATATCTAGACTGCATGCTACATTACTTGTTCCAAATGTTTAGACTACTTTTCCTTCTGTTCGCTGCTATCTTTGCAGAATAATTATGAATAGCATAAATTAAAAAAAAATCAAAATAAACTGAAGTGAATTTAGGAACTTCTGCATTGCTGAGATTGCACTGTAAAAAATCTGCTGTTTATTTCAGTGTTATAACAGTTTTTTCGATTTATTGCCAGCTTCTTCCATGAATTTGACAGTTTAATATTTTGTGACAGTTAAAGCTTTGCTTCATGTAAATGTACTTTGATTTCAGGCATTCAGAATAAAATTATTACAGGCCTGTCTCACAGTGATAATGAAAGAAGATAGAAAAGATACATAACCAATAGCATTTTTGACAGTTTTCTGCTAAGTCACACTATGTGGCTTCACCTGAGAAATGAAAAATAATTTTGTTGAACATATCTCTATAGAGTCTAAAGAGAGGTATGAATTTCAGTCCTGACATTTAAATCCTGTATACAAGTAATATTTGAGTCATGAGAAGCTCAAAACATTCTGTCATGCATCACTTGTTAATGGCCTTCCTTGACCTTATAAAAAAAAATTCTAAAAAAGGAAATTATTATCCATAGTTGCTTTACAAAAAAAAAGGTATTATTTAATATGAATAGCCCCATTCCAAACCCTGATGTTCAATGAAATAGATAGTATGAGCTTAATAAGTTCATTGTAAGAGGATAGTATTTCAAGATAAACAATTTACAAATTGTTACACAGCTGTCTTTTTGTACTACTGTATTCAGAAGGCTGCAATGAGAGAAGGCGTGCAGCACCAGATGTGCAAAGTAGGCAACAGCAGAAAAGTTAATGGAAAAAGCTGAAAGAGACAAAAGGGGCAGAGGACCTCGTTGCTCACTGAGCCTCTTAACAGTGGTACTTGATGGTAGGAAGAGACCATAAGCTGGAACCAAATATCCAGGATCAGCCTGGATATAAGAAAAACATTTTTGAGCCTGAGGACAGTCAAAAGTGGAACAGGTTGCCCCGTGAGGCTGAATGGTCTCCGTTCTTGGAAGTTTTCAAGGTCTTACTGAATAAAGACCTGAGAAACCTGGTCTGATGTCATCACTGACCCTGTTTTGAGCAGGAAGTTGAACTAGAGACCTCTCATAGGATGCAAGAATAATTCACAGGGCTATGATCATACAGTACTGGGTACCCAACTGCTGGTAAAAAAGAGAATGCTGTTATAAAGTAACAGTAAAAAGGAAAAATTATTGCCAGATGGGAAAATAAGTAATAGAGCCCTTACTTCAGTAGCTTTTTCTCTGCTTTTTTATAACTATATAAGGGGGCAGGTATGTTCAAATTGGGAACAGGAAAGATGTCTGTCTACAAAGTCTGCATACTAATGCTGGAATAGGTGATGGGGCTAGAGTGGGTATTCTCCCAAGCTAATTTAGACAGTTATGGACAAGAAAGACCATGTACGTCAAGGGTAGTCTGTTTTTTTATTTATGCTGTGTTCTGCTTTTTTGGCTCCCTATTTTAACAAAATTTTATTTCTATTCTTATCTTGACAGAATTCAATAAGCATTCTATTTTATATTTAAGTCCTGTCACACTGTAAATCTGAGTCACCTCACATACAGAGGATACAGCCTTCCCTGGAAAGGTGGATGTAATTGAGGTGCACTGAAAAGAAATGTTCATGCTACCTAAATTCAGGGCTCCTCCTGAGTCTTCAAGTTCCTTACAAACTAGGCTGCAGGTGTATCTTCATAATGTTAACACTGGTTAACCCAGCTCCCTTGGTATGTCTGGAGATGATAGCCTGGAACTTCTTTGATAAGCAGTAGGAAAGTGGAAAATGGCCTCAGACTTGAGGGGGGTGAGATGGAAAAGAAAGCTGTCACTTTCAACTTGTCACACGCACATAAAACATACTTAAGATTGTCTTCCCAAGATTTTTTTTTATTCTCTTCATTACCCTACAAATACGAAAGGCTGACTTCCATTCCTAAGACTAAATCTTCTTTTGCCTATGTATTCCAAATAGAAATAAAACTACTAACTCTCCTGAAGTTCACAGCTAGATGGTGGTGATAGTCATACTGGTGGGGATGGGGAAGCAACTATCAGTTTCACTTTAACTAAAAGTGAACTAGGTAAAAAAAAATATATAAAATGTCACTATCAAGGATATTAGTAAAGATCTATGAAGACATGTATAAATATTAAAATAATTTCTGATTTCAGGAAAAAAATGAGTTGAATGTACAATCACAGAAAATAACATTTTTATCTTATACAACTTTGTTTCTCTTTTAGTGGCAAAGCATTACTATAACACTGGTTGAGAAAGTGCAGATGGTTGCTGTAATCCTAGGATCTCTGTTCTTAGTAGCAAGTGTGACTTGGCTTCTATGGTCAGCCTTCAGCCCTTATGCAGTATGGCAAAGAAAGGACATCCTTTTTCAAATCTGCTATGGAATGTATGGTTTTATGGATCTAGTATGCATAGGTAAGCTCAAAATCTTTGAACAGCACAGACTGTGGTTTAAGACTGTGACTATATCTATTTTTCTAATTGGTCACTCTACTCGATCACTCCAGTTCTTTGCAGATTTATTCTCAGCTGGTACCTGTGGCAGATACTGCTTTTTACAGTGTTACAAATACTGTAAAAGAGAAAAGAACCAAAGAAATGTTACTCTCAGATTCATCAAAGTGTCTCCCCAACATTTTAGTGGTGAGAACAGAAACAGTTTAGATTTATTGAAAAAATAGATGGCTAGCAAAGGTCAGGAAGTTAAATAAATGAAAATAGCTAAGATATTATTAATATAATTAGTAAAATTATGTGCTGTCAAGTCTTCTACTGATGCCACTTTGCATTAAATTGTAGCATCATGAAGTGCAGAAGAAGCCCTTGAGGATGCCATAGAACTACATATCCAAAATTAAGTTGCACAGACTTACATAGGTGCTAGTAAAAGAAAAGAACAGAGAAGACATGCATGAGTTCTTTGTACATCATAAACAGTTACAAAATGCTCTAACAGTGCTAACTATAATGCATTACTATATTATTAAAAAGTCTCAAGTCATTTAGCTGAAATCTCATAAAAGAAAATGCAATTTATTGCAAAGCTATTTTGAATGGTTTTGAAGTTTCTGAAAATATACTGGACCAAGAAATAGTAACTATAAATCCCTTTAGTATTTGATAAAACAACCTTGAATTGACTGTTGGAGTAGCTATGATTATTTGCAGAGAAAATTTAGTAATTGCAGTAAACATTAAACCACATTCTCAGAGTTGCAATTCCAAGAAAATCCAGAAGTTAAATGCTACCCGATGTTTGCTTTGAGATTTCTGAGGGAGAAATGTTGATGTTATCCCACATAATATGTGTAAATTCAGAAGGACAATGCTGAATTCTGCTCAATAAGGTGCAAAGAAACAGAGTGATTCTTAATATCAAGGCTTTTGCTCCAACCATAAAGCCATATCATCTTTTATTGAAACCATCCCATTACTGTAAGAGTATTTCTATTTCAGCTGGATCAGCAGTTCTCTTTAATTTGTAATTTTTCTAAGGGAAGCCCACTCTGGAATATTTTAGAACACAAGCTTTCTTCTGTGAAACCAACTCTTCTCAGATGGAAAAATTAACAGAATCTAGGTCTCTAATACGCTGGATTCAGTGCTCAGCTTTTAAATGAAAAAAGGGCTCAGCTGCATGTCCTTTTACATGCTGATTCCTGAATACCCCTTTTTCCAGCTTAACACTCAATATTATTGAGTTTTTTGCTTTTGTTTAAAAAAACGCTAAGTGAAGACAAAATGTGCTTCAGGCATTCTAAACTTTTCATTTATGTAGAATTATGTTTTTTCACAAAGATTACAATTGTAAAACATTTACTTTGGTATGGATCAACTAGTTGGAATGACCAGTTATTTCAAACTATTTCCATTTCTTTTGACTGTTAAAACACCTAGATCAAATTAATCTCAAAATCAATTGAGATCATCTGTGGGTGATCAGAAATGTTAGTGTATTTATCTGTAGAAGTAAACTGTTGTAAAGCAAGCCTTCAGTAGATGGGTACCTGTGGTTAGGTGTCTGCCTTTCAAGCCAGCCAGGCTCAAGCCAGCTCTGGAGTGGAAGCTGCTGTGCCTCACGTGGCTATGGAGCTTCCACCCTCACCAGCACCAGGCAGGAGCAAAGGAGATGTGCAGCTGTCTTCACCCACCAGATAAACTGACCTGCCTGTAATTACATAAATACATATTTTATAGTCCTGTCATAAATAATACATGAATTTTTTAATGTAAAACTGACTATAATTAAACACATTTGGACACTTCCATAATTGTGAAGTTCAGTGCAGATACGACTTAACAGTTTGCTAAAGTGTATCTGTAAATTCAGAAAGCTGTATGAAGAGTTTTGGTAATTGTAGAATTCTGATGATCCAGATTAATTCAGCCCACTTATTCTGCATATGATTTCAAGTAATCTGCATTCTGTAAGCTTGTAAGACTAACAGATCTTGTAACTCTTGAAAATATTTATTAATATATTCAAGTTTATTCACTTTTATTTTTTCTTTCATCATAAAGTGAGGGATTTTAGACTGATAGATTTAATCTAAAACATTCAAAAAAAGTTCTCTAATAGATGGATGTAATTATTACTCATGAATGATTAAAAAAAAAAACCCCAACACTGTCCATTATGCTGATGACTTCCCAAAGGCATTAACATATGATTTTACCATTGCGTATTAAATATAATCTCTTGTATCACAAAGCTTGTAATGCTTACAGCCAGTCACAGTTCTCAGTATCTCCTCTCCTCTCATTTGTGTTTAGTCATCCACGGCATTCTCTTTGTTTTCAATGGGATTTACAGTGAGTGAATACCTATACTCCCACTGGAATCTCTCTTTATTTCAATGAAAAATCTATGCAGACATATGGGTTTTCCTGTGCAGCACATATTTCAAGACAAGTGCTTGAGTTACTGGTGGTATGACTAAGGCTTATTTCAACTGCCTTCAGTTATGCCTCCATATAGCTTTGCATAAACAATATGAATATTTTTGGTAATTTTTGAAGTGTAAATATCCGTACTTTTTGAAATGTTTTGTTATAATTTTTAAAAGCGCTTTTCACAAAGGTAGTGGCATATTTATGTGACATCTTTGAAAACTTGCACATATTAATTTGTTTTCCCAGTAAGTGATTTACATACCATAGATAGCATACCACCAACTTTCTTATCCAGTAAATTACATGTAACTTGTATTTTAATTCTTGGTCTTGACTATCTTTTCACCAAAAGAAGCATCCCAAAGATTACAGCTCACCAATACAATATGTTCTATTCATTCCAGTATGCATATTTTATTGGTATCCATTCTTTTTCTTGTTCCACTCTAATTTTTTTTCTAGAATTCAAATTTCTTCCTAACAGGATAATCTTTTTTACTTATCAGTGTTAATTTCAATCCTATAAATGACTAGTTTGTACATTTCTGCATCTAAGATGGGTGTAAAGCTGTTCTCTCTAAAACTTGTTGATGGTAGAAGTTTCCCTAAGGCAAACCTTTAACAATTTAATCAAGTAGAACAACTGCCTGTGAAACTCAGAACTACTGCAGTGGCAGTGCTAAGATCAGACCATCTATGCAGGGATTACCGAAAAGAATGAGTTCATGAGTTAATATGAAAGGAAAGAATTAATAAACCCCTTATTTAGCCACTGAAGGACAGTACACCAGATCTTTGCCATTCTACTTTCTAGACTTAGCAATTATTTCCCATAACTGTGAGGTCATATAATTTTATATATTTTCACTGGAATATAATCATAACTACTAGTCATAAGTGATTCTAACATGAACAAAACCTCTTACAAATAATAACGTCTCACTTGCAATCCCGCAACAACAGTGCAGCTCCTTTAGAGCATGGACAGCAACTGTAACATTGCAGTGGAAACATGAGTGGTGCCAGTACTACCTATGGCAAGGGAGTAAGAGATGGGAGCCAACGTGAGGTGCGAATAACCCTCTAAAAGGCTTTTTCTTCCCCACCAAGGAACTTGAAGCCTAACAACATTCATGTAACTTCCTCAGTTTTAAAAATGTACAGGCTGAAGTTATTTATAATGAACGCATCTAGCTGCACTTAATATTCCTCAGAAAGTTAGTCTTTCACTAATGCTAAAGCACTTTATTGGTTTTTTTTTTTTTGTTTGTTTGGTTTTTTTTTTTATCTGTGGACCCTAGAATAGGATTAAGAAATGTAGTTTTGTCCAGTGGTTAAGTCTGTTTCTGAAAGAGGTCTTTTATTCCCTGGTAAAAGTTTGTGATGTTTTGGGGAGTACCATTCCTAAATGATTATGAGTAAGATTAGTGTGATAAATAAGACAACATTGGAACCCAATACCACAACTAAGAGGAGTTGCCTTCTCATGAAGACGTGGTAAAATTTCAAGTGTAAGAAATCCTTTGGATAGAGTGAAAGCATCTCATAGTACTCAGCAATAGAAGAAAAGAAAATTATGATCTTCCCATAATCCTATTGTCTGGATCCCACTGCAATCACTACATCTTACAAATAAATCCTGAAGGTCAAGTCTTCTTAGAGCCTTTAGGACATTTTGCCAGATCCATCATCCCAAAACTCTGTTTCTTGTAGATGTTAATTGGATAGAACATCAGAACAGCTAACAGTAATGAATTCTAATGCTTCTTCTTGGGATCATCTGGGTCAAGCAAGTAATTTTTTTTTTCCCTAGGACTGTGCAACAACATCCTCTGTGCTGTTGAAACCACAGTATTTGGAACAAGTCAATATTATTCATGGATTTCTCTATCATTGCTGTAGATTTGTCTATCATTGCTTAAGAAAAAGAAGACTCTGCCATTTTCTTGCAGCTTCACTTTAGTGACTAACTACTTATATTTTGAGCATCAGAACTTCTTTGGAACTGGAAAATCTCCAGCATTTAAATGTTACCCAGATTTTCCCTTGTTTATGGTCATGGAACTGTTGGTGCTGAGAACGTTTTTCCCCCTGGCCCCTGGAAAATATCTTTCAAAGAGACAAAAGATCTATTAGAATTCTTTTGCCTCTTCTGCATAGGTCTTTTTCAATCTGCAGTTTTATCAGATGGGAACCAAAGCTTTTTATGGGAGGAATTATGAAAGTGCTCCTTTTGTCCTTGAGCATTGACAAATGTGACAAATTTGTTTCCAGCCTTGCAATATTTGATCCTTTTAGAGCTTGTGTCAATAACAGATTTCACTTTAAAGAAAACTTATTTTCCTTACTATTGTTGAGAAAACTTTGAAAACATAATTTCAGTAAATCCTGAAAGTTCAAAAACAGTAGAGCTCCTTAAAAAAAGAAATCCTATGACTTTTTCTGTCATAACTTTGGGATGATACTTTTGATTGTTTAAATGTACTTCATGCATGTCAATGATCCTTTCTCAACTGCTTCCTTCTCTATTCTGAAATATGTTGTTTAGGTTCCAGGGGAGGGCAGGCAGATATAAAAAATCTTTACATTGAGGTAAATGGGTTCTCTCAATTTTGATTCATCACAGTCTTGAGGGAAATTGAGCCAAAGAATGCTATGATCCAGTGACAGGTAGAAGGAAAGTTATGCTCATCTCCCTTATCACCCTAGAAGAAACCCAACAGAAAAAAAAGGGGGTGGGAGGAATCTTTGTCACAGCAATAAAACTGTGGCGTATTTGGCTTGTAGATTTTGTGCATGATCAAACACATTTATCCTTTTTAAGGCAATATAGCCAATCTTGAAAGTGCGTTTATGTATTAACACAGCCACTAAACTTTTAGAACAGGTTGCTTTATACATACATCTGAGAAGATGAAGATAGACGTCTTGCAATCAAGAAAATTTTTCCAGTAAAATACTATGCTGATAAAAAATATATTTAGAATATTTAACATCTAATTAAGTCTATTGTGCTAGCTTTGCTCTATCTGATGCTTCAGAAAATTCTAGGCAACTTGAAAGCCTTGCAGAGATGCTACATTTGCTATCACGTCCTTCTGAAAGCAATCTTTATGTTTCTCCGTCTTTCAAGTGTAATGATCTCTAAAAAAGGCCTGAGTAGGTATTGCTAATGATTCTGCAAATGATTGCACTTGAAGCTGAGGTTTGCTGTTCATATAAATGTCCTGATCATCCTTTCTGCTTGCGTCTTCTTTCCTTGAATGTCTCCTTTCTGGTATCAGTTAACCCCACTAAGAGACCTCAGACACTTGAATCACAATTTCATCACGTAGGAACAGGTGATCTACACTCTCTTGGGATAAAGGACTATGTGACACCACAGATCATATTATAGATGTGGCCATGTGTAGGAAAATTTTAGGCAAGAAACACACTGGACAGAAAATTTCTAACTGTATTTGGCTGGTTGAGGAACAGAAGAAAAACCCAATAAGGCTGAAGCCCCATGTGTCTCCCTAGTAAATCCATATTTGAAATACGTACACATAAAGAGTGTGTATATAAATACATATACATATTTACACACAACAAGCAAAGAAGAGTTTCATTTAAGTAAATAAATTGCTTGCGTGCATAAAATAAGCATAAATATCAGCAACATAATAAGCTCCTAAGCAGGTTGTTCTGTTGAGGATTCTAGACACTCTATATTTTCCTTGAAGGACCTTCTAAGAGATTTCCTGGGTCTCAACAAAAAAAGATGTTTCTTAACTTTTGTCTACTGAATTTTGAAGAGAAAGAAGAAAGCCTGTCATCCTTCCTGTGCTCATCATAGTTAATAATAACATAACATTTAATTTCTTCTTGCTCTACTGAAGCAAGACAGGAATCTCATTATACTTACAGCTGTTTCAGGTTTTCATAAATATGTGCTCCCAAGTTGAACTAAGAATGTGAAAACAGTTAAATTTCTTTGTCTCTGTACTGATTTCTACAAAATGCTCTTAAACAAATTTAAGACCATCCTGTTCATTACAGAAGGTCTAACTTAAAGATCTACTTAAACCAGTACAAATCTCAGTAAATAGTACTTACTTACTATGAACAAAGATAACACTAGCATAAACAGTCAATTTACAAATCTGCCTGTAAGGTTCTTTTATATTGGCTTACCTAAATACTTTGTTCAGGTAGGCATGCTCAGATTATTCGAGTATCAGTTATGTTGAGCTTTCATTCATAACTATTTTATTTCCTCTACATGCTCCTGCCTCCCAATATTAAACACATGGATAACCAGTTATATTACATATGTAAAATTTATTTGAATTATCAGAGTTACAAGTAATTTAATAGGCTCTGGCAATTACCAGATTCACTACATTGTAGTACATCTGTATTTGCTCTCAAAATGGTATCCACTGACATTTTGTACAAGCTAATTTTTTTTTTCTTTATTTCAGGACTGATAGTACATGAAGGTGCATCTGTTTATCGAGTGTTTAAGCGCTGGAGGGCTGTGAACTTACACTGGGATGTGTTAAATTATGATAAAGCCACAGACATAGAAGAGAGCAATCGAGGAGAACCCTCAGCAAGAAGGACATTGTGGTTACCGCTGACTGCATTTAGAAACAGAAGTTTAGTTCATCCAACGCAATTAACCTCACCAAGATTTCAGTGTGGCTATGTATTGTTACATCTGTTCAACCGCATGAGACCTCAGGAAGATTCATCAGAAGATAATGGCTCTGGGGAAGTAGTGATGAGAGTGACTTCAGTGTAAAGATGATGCTCACTGTGCTACACAGATAAGGATAAGGTGCCCTGATGTTGCAGGACTTGGAATGTAGTTGCAATGAATGGTGAAACCATTAACACTTGAAAAAATATATACACATTTTTTTTAAAATTAATGCCTTTTATATGATCAGCAAAAACACAAATACATTTTTTCTGGAAAAAAAAAAGTCTCTTGCTTTTTATATAGTCTGGTTTATTAGATCTTTTGTCAATTTGTACCTGAGGTGTATATAATATAGTTTAACTCTTAGGTCTTTGATGAGGAAACTCACTTTTAAGTAAAAGAATATATTTAAATGTATTTTCTTAAACTCTGGCTTTAATCCACTACTGTTATTTTTCTCACTTTCTTGAGGATTAAACTGAACAACCTTCTTCCAAAAAGAAAAAGAATGTTGACACCAGTCAAGTATTCTTCTTTTCCTGTCTTTATTTTCTTGTTGTTTGTAGCTCAGGTCAGGGATACGAAAGTAAGGGATAGATTGTCCCTTGCCTTCAAGCATAAGTCCAATGGGTTTTCTGCAAAACATGGGGGAAGATGACAACTCTTTTTAGCTTTTTAGGATGGTGCTGGAATCAGTGTATGCCTTCCCTTTATAAGAAGCTCACGTGCCAAAACCAGACACAGGAGACTTCTGTAACTGCATTTAGAAAGGAGAAAAAAATAATTTAAGCATTGGAGCTGAGAGCTCCTTATATACTTATAAACATTTAGCCAAGGAACTCTACACAGGGCCCAGCATTCTGCATTACAGTCTCACAAGCTCAAAATTACACTTATTCAATCTACAGATGACTTACTGCTCTTTAAACAATTAATGTGAAAAAAGTACTTAAACCAGGAACAACAAAATGCTGTCTCAAAAAAAAGCCAATTTACCCCCTGCATGGCAAGTTACCAACATGTGACAGGCAATCTCACTGAGAAAGTCTGAGAATTCACTTCTAGATTATCTTTAAAGAACTTCCCAAAGGAAGAATTTATGGAGAAACAGAAGATGAGGGAAACTCTGACTGGGGAAACCTGCTGCACCATGGGGAGTTACTTGTTCTTAATTACTGCCTCAATAAAGCCTGCTTTCCCAAACAGAGCACAATTCCACACGACCAAATTGAAATCAGAGTAGTATCTTAAAAAGCACTTATAATACAAGGAGAATAAGGCATTCTGTGATCAATATACTTAAAAGGTTATGTCTTACACCTTCTAGGTACTTGTGATCGCTGGGATCTAAAGCATATTTCAGTGGTCTTTTTACAGCATTCTAAAAAACAAAATTGAGAATTACAGGAAAACATTTTGTTGTAAAGAGATCTTTTCCATTCACATCCAAATAATTGTGGTACCGGAAAAAAAATTACTCACCAGAAAAGATCAACAGATGTAATTTAAAGAGGACAAGATTTCTGTGTACAAATATTTGAAAGACACCTGGGTCTAGAACACTTAACAGCTTCTGAGGGAAAAAAAAATGGTCCAATTAAGAGTAATGAAAATTAGTAGTGAGAGAAATGTTTAGGGCAATGTCATAGTTTTGAAACCAGGACAAGCAAGTATCAGAAAAACCTTATTAATAGTAAGATTGGTAATAATTAATGATTTCTATGGTGCAATATTTTTGCATATGTCTGCATTTATGCATATCTATAGGTACAAAGCAAGATCAGGAAATGATAAACAGTGACAGGATTAGTATGGGCAAGGTGCCATTGTGAAAAAATACTGGCATCTATAGCTGTATTGAACTGCAAAGTGTTTTCAGCAGCAAGAGTGCCTAGTCCAGGCTATGAGTATTTCTTCATTGACCTTGTATTTGGATTTGAGCCGTACCGCAGTGCTGTGATCACCTACATGCAAGATAAATGAATTCAAATTAGAATAGGTGCAGAGAGGGGATATTAGGATGAAAAAGGAGTGCAGGTTCTGTTTCACATGAGGAAATTAGAAGAGCGTGGCTTGTTCAGCTTAATAAAAGTTGAGAGCAAATGTTATTGTTCTCAGTTAATACGTTGCAGAATAAAATTTATTTTAGGCAAAGAACAAGCCTAAGAAGACAGAGAAATCAAGGACACAAATAGATCACAAATAAATTTAGAGCTGCAAGCTCAAAGTAGTTTTAAAATACTCATATAAGGAATCAACAGCAATTCAAGTTGGAAGGGCCCATGGAAGGAAATCTAGTCCAAACTCCAGGGTCAGCTCTGAGGTCAGAGCAGGTTGCTTGGGGTTTTTAGCAGTCAGGTCTTTAAAATAAAGGTTCATAACAATTAGATTACTATTAGAGGCATGTAGTTTAGGGAGTCAAACTCAGAAGAGGTCCCTGGACTGGACACACTCAAGAGCCCTTTTGAATATCAATAAGGAAAACACTAGAAAGCCCATTTTTACTTGAAAAATTGTAGAAACAATTATACAACATAAAGCTGCTTCATAAACAGTTTCTTGACCACAGAAGGCTAGCCTGATGGGAGCTCTACAGAATAGCTCCCTGGATTCTCATTTCTTTCCTTTGGAATTACATTTAAAATTCAACTTATTGTTAAAACAAGTCTCGTCATATTTAAAGCAAACCTTTTCATATATTCTCCTCTTGAAAATACGTATCATCAGTATTAGCCTGCTCTGGTGTATAAATCAAATTTAGCAATTGCAACAGCACTGCGATGAAATAGGCAGCGTGCTTACAGAGCTCTGCCAGTCTGATTACAGTCCAGACCAAGCTGCAACGATTTCATGGGAATGTTTTTATCCCGTTCATATGGTACCATTGAACTCATCATGATTGCAAAGCAAACTGCTGTTAGCTACTCAGGAATTTCTTTGCAGCTGGGACTCCAGTGCAACAGAAACTTTGAGGAAAGAATCTATGTGATTTGGTTGGTGACATTTCATGCTAGTTGTTTGATAATGTTTTGGGGTTTTTTTTGTTGTTGTTAAACTACAGAATATCTTAATCACATCACTGTTCTGTAAATGACATATCCAAGGAACGTTTACCAACATTGAAATCTACCTCAAATCTACCCATGGCAGCGCAGGACAATCTAAGCAGGGGTTCGTGTACTGAGAAGCACACTTCTCCCTCTGAAACCCTAACAGGCGTTCTAAAGAGAACTGCAGATTTCTAGTGAACTAAATTTGATAATAGTCTGTTATTATCTGTCAGATCTGCGACTCTAATAATTATGTACTAAGAAACAAGAAAATTTTCTAATGCTTGAAAAATATTGTTAGCAGGTTTTCTAAAGAGAAATGAAGATGCTCTTTAAAACATTTCATCCTTCTTTTTTGCCTTACATAGAAAAATTCATTGTCATAAACCTCATAATTTCAAAAAACCCTAGTGAGCTACCATCTCCTAGAATTACCTCTTAGCTGTTGTGTAAGAGGAGATAAAGCAGTGTTCAGGGCTGAATTACTACCTTAGAGAGCGTACCAGAGATATCTTTAAAAACTGGTAATGCTTGTATTTCATTTCATTAAAATCAGAAATGAGGTTTCAGATCTTTCCACGTTCAGAAATTTGTCAGGTGGATACTGACAGTTATCCTGCATTTAAGAAGAGATAGCTATAACGCACTACAGAGTGCATCCAGTCTGGATTAAAGGTGATGCATACATTAAAACCAGACACATGGCAAAAAAAACCCCCAAAAACACCAACTTTCAAAGATCACCCACAGATAAGAGAAAAATAGCAATCAGTAGCATAATTTTCTCCCTTTGTGGCCAAGTCAGCTCTCCTGCAGGAGTGTAGAAATCCATAATCATCCTCCTACTTAACGAGTCCTTGCCTGACAGACTGAAACTATTCTTTGCCCTGGAGTCTTCACATGTGCTAACTGTGGATGAATTTGACCCTGACATGTCACCATTTGCTCCCTTAGTTCAGAAGATCTTAGCAGCGGGCAGGAGGGGCTGTCCTCTGAAGGGTAAAAGATGTATCAACTGGATGAAAATTTGTAAAAGCCTCATAAAGTGCCATTTTCAGCATGAAGCAGCTGGCCAGAGCCAACAACAAAACTTGTTCCAACACCAGTCCAAGCAAACTGTTGAATCAGGTCCGTGCTGGCAAGTCCACCTGAGTGCCAGAATTCAGGATCAGCCATGGCCAGAGACCAGAAATGCCCCCATGATCACTGCAAGAGCAAGAGTTAAAGTGAATGAAAGGGGGTCAGACAGCACTGGCTTAGTGACCTGGAGAAGTTTCTCTGGCTTCTGCAGTTCCTGCCTGGCCCAAAACCTCACTTTGTCCTACACATGAGGCTGGGAGAAGAAGAGCCAAACTTGTGAAAGCAAAAATTATGTTTAATAATTAGTCCACAGGTCCCATTTTCTTGGCCTGACCACCACCAACTGTTGAGGAAAAAGTACTTCTCCGCTGTCTTATTTTCAGCTTTTGCCCTGCCAGTGTTGAAAAAGTGGTAAAAATGCAGCCGAAACCAAGGAACTTGTTTTTTCTAAGATATGTATCAAAGTCACCACAAGCCCCTCACCCAAATTTTGCTAGATTTCAAAATATTGAACTGGAGCTGCTAAGTCTTTAAAGAGGGGAAAACTGAATTTCACTGTAGGAGACAAATCGAATGTTAGGATGTTCCCTCTTCCCCATGCACTTGCAGCAAGGCTTCACCTGATGCACCACCACCTGCCAGCTGCCTGGGAACCCACCCCGTCCTGGGGAAACCTCAGCGGGCTCTGTCACCTCTGGGGCTGGCTTGGGTCTGCTCTCTGCTGCAGGCAGGGGCCTCTGGCAAGTCCTCGCCTGCAGCGGGTCTCAGCCCCTCTCTGCCTTTCTGCTCTGTTCCAGACGGCCCTGCCAGCAGAGCTTCCCCAAAGGAAGGTATCCCTTCATTCCCCAAGGGCAGCTCAGCCAGGCAGCTGCCATCAGGGCTGGACAAACAGGTGGCTGTCCTCCTTCCTGCCCACTGCAACCCACATATCACACACTAACCTGAATAAGCAAGACAGTTTTTCCATCT